GATGCAAGGATCTTTGTCAATTTTTGATGGGCAAATGTTTGGTGATTGGAGGATCAAGATGAAGGCGAATTTTGGTTTTCAAGAAGTGGCCAAGATTATTCAAAATGGTAATCCTGAATTGAACAGCAAAGCTTCAGAAGAGGAGAAAATAAATTGAGTTGCAGGAGAAATTTGATAGCAAAGCAGGTTCATCCTTTACCAATGTGTAAGTTCACAAATTTTCAATAAAATCTCATGTGCAAAAACAACTAAAGAAGCATGGGAAATTTTGTGATCTTTATCCATAAAATTTGATCACTTATTTCTGACTATTGAAGAGACCAAAGACACTGAAAATTTAAGTGTGGAGGAGCTACAACATTTGCTTGAAATATAGGTTGGAGGAAATAAGACAGTACCAAGAACAAGCGTTGATGGTACACACTCAATACAAAGCGAAAGGAAAAGGTTTCAAGCAGAATAATGTTGGCAAGAGTGGTAATAAATAGAAAGAAAAACAAGATTCAAAGAGTGATGATACATGTGAATCTGGGAAGCAGAAGAATGCAAAAGGTGAGAAAGAATGAAAATATGATAAAAGAAAGATAAAATGTTACAATTTCCAAAAGTTTGGTTACTATGCAAAAAAGTGTTGGAAAGGTGATGGAGCAAAAAGTATACACAAGAATCATGCCCATCCAGCGAAAGAGGAGAGTTCAAACTCTAATGTAGAAGCAGTAATGCTAATGGCTAAAACTGATTGTGAAGAGGTAAATGATATTGAATGGTATCTAGATTCTGGTTGTTCCACTCATATGACAGGGAAGAAAGAGTGGCTTATTAAAATGAAGGAAGTAGCAAATGGGAGAATTAGATTCGCAGATAATAGAAGCCTTGAAGCGGAGGGTTCAGGAAGGGTTGTATTACGTGGAGATAGTGGAAAAGAAGTTGTAATTGAGGATATTTTGTCACTACTAGAAAAATGGTTAATAGTGACTGAAATTAGTAACCGAAAAATTCAGTCACTGATAGTAATTGAATCAGTGACTGATTTCCATTTTATATTTAGTGACTAAAATTTCAGTCACGAAAATCGGTCACTGATTCGGTCACCAAATCAGTCACTGATTCGGTCACTACTAGAAAAATGGTTAATAGTGATCGAAATTAGTGACTGAAAAATTCGAGTTACTAATAGTAATCGAATCAGTGATCGATTCCTCTTTTTATATATAGTGATCTGATTTAGTGACTAATATTTCAGTCATTAAACAAATAATATATAAATTAGTGACCATTTTTTATTTATATAAATATTTTTTAAAAATATTTTAATAATATATTAAATATAAATCTACTTAATAATTTAAAATAATTGATAAAAATTTTAATAACATTATAAAAATTTTCAAAAATAGTTTATTAACTTATTAAATAATTTAATAATATAATTATTTGATTTTATTTTTTAATTTAGTATGTGAATAAAAAAATTAAAATTAATTATTAAATTAGTCATCGAATCGGTCACTTGATTCGATCATTAAAGTAATTATTAATTTAGTCTCTTTTATATATATAATCAATGATTAA